CAACTTCTTTCTCAATTATTCAGGTACATGCCTGAAGCACATCGATCCAAAAACTTTAAGATGAATCACTTTTGGCTTTGACCCTGTCCAAGCCTCATGAGGTGTCTTTTCGACCATCTTCTTCATTGGGCATCTATTTAGAACATATACTGATGCCGAAGCTGCTTCAGCTTAAAATCTCGTAGGCATATCTTTAGCTTTAAACATACTTCTCGCCATGTTCAGTATACTTCTATTATTTCTCTCAGCTATGTCATTATGCTGAGGCGTATAGGGTGAAATAACCTCATGCTCTATACCTTCCTCATTGCAAAATCTAGCAAATTCAACAGACGTATATTCACCACCACCATCAGTTCTTAACTTCTTCAATTTAGAGCCACTTTGTTTCTCAGCATGCAACTTGAACTTCTTGAACTGTGTGAATACCTCACTCTTCCTTTCAATAAGGTAAATCCACATATGTATGGTGAATTAATCAATGAAAGGAAATACATGTTGCCTCCATTTGACTTTACTTTAAAAGGTCCACACACATTAGAACGAACCAGCTCCAATTTTTGCTTTGATTTCACGCGCAAGTCATGTTTGAATGCTTTCCTCTCCTATTTTGCTTTGCAGCATTCTCACACACCTTTTTAGGTTCCTTTACATAAGGAAACCCAAATACCATCCTTTTCCGATTGAGCATGCATAAACTTCTGAAGTTTAGATGTCCATACTTGTGGTGCCATAGCCAGTTCTTGTTTTCTTCTCTAGTTGAAGCAAGACATTTGTGATCTGATGTGTTGAGTTCAAATTTGAATGTTTTATTCTCTGTCGATGGTGCTCTCATTATTGACCTTTCATCATCCCTATATACCTTCATCTGATTCTTCTCGAGCTTCATATTGAAGTCTTTTGCAAGTAATTGACCTACACTTATCAAGTTACTTATCATCGAAGGTACATACAACACTTCAGTGATAGTAGATTTTCGACCATCCTTCTTGACGATCGAAATATCTCCTTTACCACCTGATTTGATGTGCCTACCATCTGTAGACTTTATCACCTTTTCGATTGACTCATCTAACTTGGTAAACCAATTTTTATTGCCAGTCGTGTGGTTGCTGCATCGTGAATCCAGATACCACATGTTGTTTTTCTCAGTGTTCGACCGAGTGTTCACCATCAACAACATATCATCAGAATCACTATCTCCAACTCGTGCATATTGAACTTCATCATTATATTTTTCCTTTGTTGCTTTCTTTCTTTGACAGTCTCGAGCATAGTGACCAAAACCTTGACAATTGTAACATTGCACCTCTTTCATGTCAACTTTTTTCCCAGAATACTTGTTGCCCACACCTTTCTTGATCGAATCAGTATTCTTGCTTGACTTCTTATCACTAGCAAGATTCTTTCGCTGCTTCGACTTCTCTTTTCTAGCTTTCTTGCTGAACCTTGATTACAATGCCTGTTCAACCACCTTCTCTCTTTCTGAGTTTCTTTGCTTCAACCTCATCTCGTGAGCCTCTAGTGAAGCTTGAAGTTCTTCTAACTTCATCTCAGATAGAGTCTTGGCCTCTTCAATTTCACAACAATGTAGTCAAAGTCTGCAGTCAAAGATCTTAACAATTTCTCAATCTTCTGCAGATCCGTAACTGATTCACCACATGCCTTCATCTAGTTTGTTAGTGTCACAATTCTTGAGAAATATGCAAAAATTGATTCATTTTCTTTCATCTGAAGCATCTCGTATTGCTTCCTTAGCATCTTCAACTTCACCTTCTTCAATTTCTCATCTCCACCATGCAAGTTCTTTAACTTATCCCATACTCCTTTTGTCGTATCTTCTTCAATTATCTTCTCAAATACATCAGAATCCATACATTGATGAATCAAGAACAAGGCTTTAATGTCTTCCTTCCTTTGATCTTTGTGTGCAGTTTTTTGGGCTTCCGTCGCATTTGTTTCCAATTCTGATACTCCATCATTCAATATTTCAACAACATATTAAAATTTGAAGATAACTTTCATCTGCTCAACCCACCATAATAGTTTTCACCTTTGAAAATCAGTAGATTCGTTGGAAACTGTGTTGACGTTGTTGTTCTGTTTGCCATTAGATTCTATATGAATTGCAACCGATCTCTATTATACCAATTTGTTGGAACAAAGGATTTTCAAGAAAGATGATTTATGGAAGAGGAATGAGAGAGAGAGAGAGAGAAAGAGAGAGAGAGAGAGAGAGAGAGAGAGAGAGAGAGAGAGGAGAGAGGAGAGAGAGAGAGGAGAGAGAGAGAGAGAGAGAGAGAGAGAGAGAGTTTGTTGTGATTCTGACTGAATTGTAAAAATCTGTTATTGATTACACATATGATTACAAACTCAGCAGCCTTTTATATAGGCAAACAATGCTCGTGCCTAATTAGAAAAAAACACGCTAAATCCCAAAACATGATTTCGACATACTACAATATCTGTTGTATTCGACTTTGTCGAATACAGCTTGTAACATATACAATAAGCTATTTGACATACACATGTATTTCGACAGAACAAGAATTATACTTCTAACACGAGCATTTACAATAATTAATTATAAATATTTTCTATTTGATTTTCTACTCTATTCTAGGAATATAAAATATACACAATTAAATCAAATCATATCAAATCATTCCATATTAACACCCCCTTAAAATTATGCAGCTCGTCAAGAAGTATCAATTTGTTAACAAGAAATTGATGATGTGGACGAGGAACTACCTTTGTAAAAATATCTACAATTTAAAATTGAATACTAACATGAGAAAGTGATATTAGTTGATCATCATGGGCATCACAAATTGAACAACAATCGACTTCAATATGATTGGTGCGTTTGTGAAAAATAGAATTTGCAATGATTTGGATGACACTTGTATTGTTAGCATAAAGTGATGTAGGCTCTGCTTGAGAAAATCAAAGCTCACTCAACAAAGCACGAAGCCAAATTATTTCTGAACAATCAGCAAACATAGCACGATACTCATATTCAAAGGAAGTTTTTGAAACTCTTGCTTGCTTCTTATTTTTCCATGAGATCAATGAATAGCCATGAAATATACACCCAACCGGTGACAGATCGTTGAGTGTCAGGACACTCTACTCAATCAACATCACTATAAGCACTCAACCGAGATACCATTCTCGAAGGAAAGAATAAACCATGATGAGAAGTTCCTTTCAAGTAGCAAATTATACGACGAACTTCTGTCAAGTGAAGATGTGTAGGAGAATGCATGAATTAACTTATTTGTTGAACAATAAAAGATATGTCAGGGTGATTAATAGTCAAGTAATTGAGGCTACCCGCAAATTGCTGATACAATAAGGGATCAAATAAAAGATCACCATCATTACGATGATATGTAACATTAACCTCAAGAGGAGTATCCATTGGATTAACTGTTCGGAGACCAGCCATAGAAATCAAATTTGTGGGAAGATGCCCTTAGACGTAAAATGAACCTCAAGACCAAGAAAGTAATGTAATTTTCCAAGATCTTTCATATGAAATGAGGTATGTAACAGTTGTTTAAGTCGCTCAATGAAAGCATGATTTGAACCAATGATAACCATATCAATATCATCAACATACAAAAGAAGTAGAACAATATCTTCAATTGTGCTATGAACACTATTATAAAAAGCGCTTTTAACCTCAGATGCGAAATGCATTTTATCTCGGCTAAAGAAGCGAGGTAATGAAGAGCGTCGTCAAAAGTAATCACTTAACACCTCTGTTTTTTAAAATACCGAAAGATAAATTTATTTGTGCATGGATTTGAACCCCATAATCTATACTTTTATTATTTATAAAACTAATGTTTCATGCATCTCAAGTTAAATAATAAAATAAAATTGAGAAATTAGATAAATTGTATTTTTTTAATTGAAACTCATTACATTATTTACACAGAAAATTAATAAAATAATTTATTTATAAACTATAATATTTATTTAAAATATTATATTATTTACATATAGTAATAAAATAAAAATTAATTTGGCCTCTATCTCTGCATTATTCACCATTGCTAATGTGATTGGGTTTTCCCCAACAGATTACTCCTCCATTAAAATGACTTGAGGTGGTGTTTGCAAATAGTGTTTGAAATGCATTTCAAGTTTTCAACACTGCCCATCACAGATTGTCTTATAGTGGAACACAATTCAAGAGTTGGAAGCTGAATAATAACTCACTTTGTAACAAGCTTTGTCTAACGTTCCAGTTTTTCCCGTTGCACTTCCTTCTTTCAAACATTAAATTAGCTAGATCTATAAATTTTATGAAAGTGTAAAAAGAGTCGGAGAACTAGATCTATTTTTTAAGATATATTTAATATTTTAAAAAAACTGAAAGAATATCATAATATATGATTATTTAAAAATTCAATCACGATTTAAAAATATAAAAAAATTAACTTGCCCAATTTAGAAAAGAAAAACAAACAGTTCCTCAATGTTCTTCTCTCAAAAGTATATGTGAGTATGTGACCAAACAGTTACAAAAGATGAATCCTCCACTATGAAGCTGAATGATGTATTTAGAGAAGACTTGTTATGTCTCCAAGGTCATTGAGCACAAAGAACTCTTGTTCTTTCTATGATAAAGTATAAAATAAATTATATGTCTATTTATTTCATTTGATTGAGCTTTAAATAGACAGATATAAAATAGAGATGTGAAAATTAGGATTTACAACACTCCTATATAATGTGCACCAGCAACTTGTGCTAAAACCTCATGGTGATTTATGATTACATTATAAACACAAAATTATTGAAATCTTACCTCCAAAATTGTGATAACACCTCTCCTTGTTCCTACTTCCTATCTGTTGGCAATTTGATTCTTTAAAATAATCCTAATTATAGGTTCTTGAATCAAGTTACATGTAAAGAACAATGGAAACATAAGAAGTAGGAGAGTGGAGTAATTAATGGCTATTTATTGTGCATACATACCATCAATAATTATGCTCATGACTTAGAAGTCTCTCAACAACTTGACTCATGGTGGGTCTAACATCTTTATCTTCTCCTACACAATCCAAAGCAACATTTGCCAAAGTCTCCATTTTCTTAACATCATAATTTGATCCTAATTTAGGATCAACAATTTGTTCTACCCAACAACCAACATCTAATCCATTTCTCCTTTTCTCCCTGACCCATGTCACCAACCTCTCATTAATCAACTCTTCCTTGATCTGTATACCAGTTGTTGGACTCTTTCCAGTAATCATCTCCAACACCACAACTCCATAGCTATAAACATCCACCTTAGAAGTGATCTGCAAGTTGAAAACCCATTCCGGTGCCATGTAACCTCTTGTCCCTCTTATCCTTGAGAAATTTGAATTATCAAGGTCATCTCTATTCAATAGCTTAGACAAACCAAAATCTGCTACCTTAGGTTGGTAATCAGAGTCAATAAGAATGTTTTGTGGCTTTATATCACAATGCAAAATCCACTCCAAATATTCTTCATGTAAATAAGCAAGACCCTTTGCAGTTCCCATAGCTATGTCATACCTTTTATCCCAATCAAGTTCATTTGATGAGAGATTATGAGCTAAACTACCCTTTTCCATGTACTCATAAACCAACAACCTATGCTTTCCCTCTGCACAATAACCCCACATTCCAATCACATTCATGTGATTAAGCCTTCCAATGATGCTAACTTCAGCAAGAAACTCACTCTCACTCTCTCCGCTATTTGCTTCATGCAGACGCTTTATCGCAGCAACTCGACTATCAGATAAAACACCTTTATACACAGTTCCTCCTGCACCCTTTCCAATCTCTTGACTAAAACCTTTTGTAGCTTGTTTCAATTCTGAATAACTGAATTTCCTAAACCCTGTTGCTGCAGCTAGAACATACCCATGGTTATCAACTCTAGATTTCTTGCTATTCTTAAATAAGATACACCCTACAAGAAAGAAGCATAAGATCTCAATTCCACCCAAGCCACTTGCAAACCAAAGCATGAACTTCAGTGATCCATTTTCTTTTTCACTAATGTATGATCTTCCCAGGTGTTTAACTCCCTTATTTCTCGAACAAACCAAGTTATCATATTCACCAGGAAAAACAATGTTGTGTTTTGGTAATCGCAAGTAAAGTGAACCTCTAAACTTTGTCGAACGATGACCGTTTAGTAACTGCATCTTTGGGTAACAATTATATAAACCCTTGCTCTTCACATAACGAAATTGGAAGGCTATGCATTCGCACAATCGTAAGCACAAATGCTTACATTGTTTGTAGGTGAAATTTTTATGGAATCCATAGTCGTAGTTGTAAAATTCAACATGAGGTAAGAATTCAAAGCAATATTTTGTCTTCTTGTTGCATGAAAATTGAAAGCTCGGTTTGCACCCTTGAGACCAGTCGTGGTTATTGACGATGTTATAGCCGGGAAGACACGAACATTTTCTACCGGTTCTTGGATCATAACTGCAAGTGCTATTAGGTCCACAAATCCCGTCTATTTGACAAGGTTGTTGGAGGAATTGTCCTGATACGGACCACTGCTCTTGCCCATGTTTTCTGCTATAAACACGAACATTTCCATCAAAATCAAGGGTCACCCTTCGTTGCAGCACTGTTCCATAATCAGTTGTTTTGAAATTGAAATAATCTGAAGAACTGAAGTTTCCCAAACGATTCAATGTTGCTACCCTGCTACTATTGTACGTGGATCTAGAAGCTTGCCAACCTAGAAGCAATGTATCTGGCCAATAAACGCTTGAGCCTCGAGGGCTGTCATAGAGAAGACGGAGAAGATTGTTGTTATCGAAAAAAAGCTTGTATGAGCCAGAGGAATAGTTGGTGCCACTTTTGGAAGAAACAAGGTTCATGTACCCTGTGAAAGTTTGATCTGGAAGGAGGGTATCTGTTGGAAAATCAAAGCTTTGCCACAAAATAAAACCATTGATGTTATGTTCTCTGAGAACGAGATTTCCCGTATCGTACAAAAACAACTCGAGTTGTTTGGACGAGTTAGTGTTTGTGGACCAAACACTGAACTGTCCTGCATCTGTTAATACAAGGTTGCCTGTTTTGAGAAGGGAAAGTGTTGAATGTTTACCGTTAACCGGTTGGTCACGATTTGCCATCCAAACAATGGTGGCATTGTTGTTGAGGTTTTTATGTTTTTGAGTGAACCATATGGCAAAGGAATAAGCATTCTCCCCTACAGGATAAAAGCCTGCTGTGAATATGCCTTTGGGAGAGACTATAGCGTTTTCTTCATGATTCTCCACTGACATGGAAAAGGATGATGAATGTGGAAAATGGAAGAGTAAGATGAAAAGTGTGAAGAAGAATGGTGAATGAGTCATTTGCATCATGTTATGATATTGCTGAATGCTTTATGTTATATATAGTATGGTAATGAAAATTTTATGTGTGAATGGTGACTTAAGTCTTTGTTCCCTCTCCTACGCAATGACAATAAATAGTTCATTTTGACCCGACCCGTCAATCAATTTAACTTTAGTTGGAAATAATGGGAAAGTGCTTTTGATTATTGGCATTATGTTTTACTTTTTGTCAAAGTAATATTTTCAATTCTAAAATAAGTGTAACGTCTCAAAATAAGATTTTTTAAATTCCAATCTCATTTTCATTTTCTTCTTTCAGTTATACTCCACTATTTAATTAATATTGAATGCATCACTCCAAAATTATTTTTCAATCTTTATATTTATGATAACTAAAATACACCAATATTTAATGAACCACTAAATCATAATTTAATAATATCAATATTGTGAGACTGTGCATTATAATAGTTTTGTTTTGATTAGAAAAAAAGTCAACTCATATGTCACTTATTCCAAAATGTCATAAAAATGCATAAAGGCAGGTAAGGGTAGCGTCACATGGCAGACACATGAGCTCGCTAGACCCAGTCCATCACACCTAAGGGCATGGATCGCTCACTTGAACCAGCATTCTCAAGTTGAAATCATACACGGATGTGTTAGGCCATGTGACAAGCAACATAACTATTGTAGTCACTACTCCAAAAGCGAAAACACTTCTTATATTAATGAAGAAGAACTAAGTTCTCATATCACCTCGTTCTAGCCAAGTCAATGGGGTTGAAACCGGTTCTTCACCCACAGTTCAGCCCATGGGTCGCGTTTATAATATCTCAATCCCTAGAGTTGGAGCATTCATTCACTTTTTACAAAATAAGAATACCTAAAACCCCTTTGCATTTTCTCATGCGAGCATGGTTTATCATATTGTGCTTACTACAAGCACAATTAATGCCCACTATAGGGCCTGTAAAACTTACTCATACCACACCTTAACCTAAAATTCTAGTTTCCCTAATTATTATCTCACAATGATGAGACGAGGAAACCCCAATAGTGGCAGCAACAGTGATGATGAAGCCATAGCGGAGATTCAAGCCTCTACGGAGGAGTTACGTTGCTCCAATGAAGCTCTACAGACTAAAAAAATTTACCTTCAGTAGTGACGCTAAGAAGATGGGTCGCTAGAGGGCGACGATATCTTAGATCCCCAACCTCTATGCGATGGAATATGGAATGATCTAATACCATATAAGTTTAAACCTCCATCTCTGATCTCTTTCGATATAAAAAAAGATCAGCATATGCACATCCCTGCCATCTACACTTAGATGATAATAATTGATTCCACTGAATCTTTAAAGTGCAAACTCTTGTCAACCAGTTCTCGATGAGCAAGCATAGAAAGCTCTCGATCACCAACATGTTCAACGTTTATCAAGGGCACTTTGAGTCCTTAAGTTAGTATCTCAGGTGATTCAATGAGGAGACAATTAATGTGATTCATCCCAATCAAGAGAAGTTTATAGGTGCGTCCTAAAATGGTATGAAAGCGGGACATCTTAATTAGTATATAGCCCCAAATCCCTACAACAAGATTTATAGAGTCATTATACTTTGCTTGTCCGTGATAGGGAGACATTCAGATGCAACACAAGACCCACAAAGAATTAAACGCCTATAAATACTAGAATGAAGCAGATATAGTGTGAAGTACTCCATGCTCACGACATCCCACATCCTCCAAACCTAAGGTGGAAAGTCGTGGGGAACGAGCCCAATAAATGGTGTAAATTCCCCATAGTTAAAGGCCATCAGACTAACGATGACCACTAGCCGAAGAGGGAAATGGAGTGCCTCATGCAAGAGGGCCACTTGAGGAAATACGTGAAGGGTAACTATCAACACGAGGGAGGTAAGTGTTCCCCTTATAAGTGGGACCAACCTAGAAGCCCTCATTCTAGAAAAGATAAAGAGTCGAAAGGAGGGATGAAGGATAAGACCATATGCCAAACACTCAAAACCATCACTAGAGGGTTAGTTGGCTAGAGTCCACTTTCGAGCCCAAGTTCACCTTTTCTTGAAAAGATGCTAATGGGGTTTTCCCACCCACAAAGATGATCCCATGATGATAGATGTCCATTTATTTGATTGGGAAATAATGTGAGTTCTTATAGATCCTGGAAGTTCAATCGAAATTTTATAATGACACCCTTTTGAGAGGCTTAAGTTGGATCCACATGATCTTCAATAGTTTAGAGGCTCACTAGTCAGATTTTTGGGCAAGCAAGTCTAAGTGAAGGGTTACATTAGCCTAAAACATTTTTTGGGGTTGGAAGATGGTGTACCCCAAAATTTCCCCTTCTAACCCTAACTTCTAATTGGCTTATACTTATCATTTCATCTGGATACCTCCATTAGGTCATTTTCATACCATGCACTCATTCATTAAATAAGACACTCGAGGCATTGGATCAAGGGTCATGGAAAGAGCCGAGGCTTCATATGGTTTATGGATCATGGATTATGGTTTTTCTCCCTATGCTTGGAATCGTCTGATGAATTAGGGTTTGGATCTACAATCATCACATGTTTTCTTTCTTAACACTTGGGATTTTTTCATCATATGAGGTTTGGTTTCATTATTACTTGTGGTGAAAATAATCCTATTGGACTTCATTCAAAATATCTGAATTTGGACATGGAGTTCTTGTGGATCATGGAGTGAGATGCATCCCCATTGTGTTTACAACTACTGGTTGAACTATGGTTTATTTCCCAACTAATGTGGTGATCAAATTATTTATTTTGGGTTCCACTTGGATTCATGTCATCTTAGGGATTTGGCTCATCATGGAAATACATAAATCATTGGTTCATAATTCACTATTTGGGCTGCAAGTCATCTCTTCGATTCTCATACAAATGTTTGATGTATACATGGTGTATGGGATGATCTATCAAGTTTGAAGCACTTGGATAAGGGCTTTAGCTTTGGTCAAAGTCAATATTGAAAAGTTGGCTCTTTAACCAAAGTAATGTTTAAGCTTTCTTGGATCTATCTTATGCCATTTATTCAAATTTGCAAATTGGAGAGAGGAATTTCAAATTTCAAGTTCAAAAGGAGGGAAAGGTACAAGGTGTTATTACTTGAAGTCAAATTTACATGAGAGGTCAACATATTCAAAAGGGTCAATTATGTTGTATAGTCCAAGAATACAAAACAAAATTATAAAAGTACATAAAAATATACATAATCAGCTAGAGTTAACTTTTTGGTCAACTAGTAACCATCAACCAGAGACTTTGACTTTGACCCTTTATTTTTTTCTAGACCTATTTCTTTCATCTTCAATATCATACCAAAATTTGCACCATGATATACCTCTAAGCGTCATCTAACTGAAACCGACCCTAACTCCAAAGCAGTCTCAATCCAATCCTAGTCCCTATTTATAGACTTCATCACCTTCATTCAACCTTCGCCCATCATTTTCCAGATTCACACACGCACCATTTTTCACCATTCATACGCTTCAACCATCATTTTTGTGAGTGTAACTTCACCATTAGATGTTTTGCATCATGTCAAAACTAGGAAAACTTAGCATTTATGTATATTAGACAATATCTCTATGTCATGTGGCACTCCCTTGAATTAGATTTCTTAGGAATCATTAAAAACCACTTTGAAATTGACCAAAACCTTAAAAATTAGTTTTCTGCATAAAAACAGCTTGCATGTGCCAGCACATATGTGTTTCAGGCTGGCACATGTAACTCAATAATGAAGCCTATAACTTTTGTTTTCTATAGGCCGACACATGTATCATATAGGTCGACATATACTGTAACTTTTATTTTATATGTCAGCACATATGATTTTCAGGTCGCACATCTACTGCAGTATTAAAGCCTGTAGCCACTGACTAGCATAGGCCGACACATCTACCTTTTTCAGGCTGGCACATACTTTTAGTTTTTGACTTATGTGCCGACACATACGAATTTCAGGCTGACACATAGTGTTTGATTGGGTCAGTTTTTCAATTCTTTTTAATTCCAAAAATACCTTTTTGCACATAAACTTCCACAATTATAAATACAACATTCATGCATCACTCCAACTTGATGAAACTATAAACACTTACTACATTTTCTTTTCAGCTTCAACCTCCAACCTATGCATACACACTGACAAATCGCATATAATCGTATTTTATCGGGGTGCCATCTAGACGAGGTTCGATAACGTCCAATTAGGTTTTATGTAATCGAGAATGTTGGGTTGAGATTTATAGGGGGTTTCATCCGGAAAAATATAGGGTTTGTTCTCCAAGATCTTTGGTAGATTTGGGGATTTTGTTCAAGACTTTCAAGAGAGGATTGCAGCCAGATGAAAATCCTTCAGAGTTTGGTACCCAAGGAAGTAGCGAGATAACAACGAATCAAATTTAAAGGTCTTGTGTTCAATAGGTACAATTGATCATGCGTGAAAGAGATTTGGAGTTTCGTACCCAAAGGAGTAGCAAGATTCAATAAATCAATTGGTATGCTATTGTGTCTTGGTCTTGCTCAAGATCAAAATAAGAGAAGGGGTTGAATCAACAACAAACAATTAGGGCTTGTAGGGTTACTCTTGAAACACTTCTCTTATAATCAACTTTTTACATAGTAAGAAATTATCCTAATTCCAAAATTGGAATTGGGGAGAGACGTAGCCATAGCGGGGAAGATTGGTGAACTTCCTCAGCAAATCATCGTGTCTCTCTTTTATCTCTTTACTTACTTTAATTTTCATTAAGAAATTTGTTAAATAGCATTGATTAATCGATCGAATTGCAAGAATTTTTTGTGACTATTTTTTTTTGAATTGGTTGTTGATTAGCTTATAATCACTTTGATTATAAATGCTTTTTCATATCAGCACAACTCAAGTAAAATTTTGAAAAAATCAAATTCGTACACCAATTATTTGACAAATTGCATAGTTCGCTATTTTTGCGTGTTATGATTGGAAATAG